ATTTAATGCGGAACTTCCACACTCCATACCTTTCGCCGTTAAAAGGAAGGATATTTCTTTTATTTTTATTCTCCATATTTATTCACACACGACACTGGGCCCATAACCTTTTATTATTTTAATTTAAAATTATCTAATAGGTTATGGTAAAAGAAAACACAACATTTAATATTTTTGATATTTGAACATAGAATTTATTTAATCAAATTTTATACAACCTTACAGTACGAAGTCAAAATATAAACTAAACTATATAACTTAACGAAGATTCGATGCTCAGGTAAGAAGAAATAGAGGTATTACAATAGTGCCATAAAAGGCTCATTAAGGCTAGACTGATTGTCGCCTCGAAGGCTAGACTGACAATCGTCATTATATTTCTTTTGAAAATATTTAATTCTTAATATTAAATTTTTAACATACGGTATATTTAGAATTATAATTCAAAATGAATTAACCAGAATTCTGGTTAAAGTATATTTAACATTGTGATTTTGGTTAGATTAACCAGAATTCTGGTTAGGGTATATTAAAAATTATAATTTAGGTAAGATTAACCAGAATTCTAGTTATTTAAAGCAGAATTCTAGTTTATTTAGCCATAATTCTAGTTAGGGTATATTTAACATTATGATTTTGGTCATATTAACCAGAGTTCTGGTTAAGGTAAAATTTAATATTATAATTCTGGTTAAATTAACCAGAATTCTAGTTATTTGAACAAAATTCTAATTACTTTAACCAGAATTCGGGTTAGGGTTTATTTAACATCATGACTTTGATATGATTGGCCAGAATTCTAGCTAATTAAATCAAAATTCTAGTTTATTTAACTAGAATTCTAGTTAGGGTATATTTAATATTACAATTCTGCTTAAATTAACTAGAATTCTAGTTATTTAATTCAGAATTCTAATTCATTTAACTAGAATTCTGGTTATTTCAACAAAAATTTTAGTTAATTTAACCAGAATTCTAGTTAGCGTAGATTTAAAATTATGATTCAAATTAAATTAACCAGAATTTTGGTTAGGGTAAATTTAACATAATTCTGGTTAGATAAACGAGAATTTTAATTATTTAAATAAGAATTCTAGTTCATTTAAACGACAATTATAATAATTTATTTTTATATAAATTAATAATCTTCATTTCTGATATAAATATTATATTTTTTTCCACTTTCTAAACAATATTCAATGTTTTTTTTTCCAAAAAATTTTCGTAATTGCTCTTAAAAAAAATAGAAATAAGCGTGGGCCAGTTTAATTCAAACCTCTTTTATAAAAAAAGAAATTATATAAAATGTTTTTAAATTAAACTATTAAATATTATTAATTAAACAGAACAAATACCTATCTTAAATTAAAAACAAAAACATTTTCTTAAGCAGGAACTTTATGTTATCACCCATTATAATACCTTTGGATATTATTAATAATTAATGCACTTTTCCAACAACAATTTTGAAGCATTAAACATCCGAGAGGTTAAATTCATAAACAAGATTTTACGCGCTTAAAAACATTGCGGAAGGTATAATAATTATTTATCTCGTAAAGAGGATCTTTTTTTAAAAATTTAAATAATTTTTCTTCTACATTTAATAAAATCGAAAAAAATAGTAACTGAAATACATTTTAAAAATGATTATTAATTATTTATTTTTATCTATTAATTTTATTTTCTTTATAATGATTCACAATTATTTACCTAATGATTCACATTTATTATATTTGCATAATGAGTCACAATTATAATATTTGCATAGGATTCACAAAAAAAAATGAGATTTCTTATATCTCAATTTGTAACTTACTTTTAACGATTTTATATAAATTTCATTTGTCTAGGGAGGGCAAAATGAAAAAAAAAATAAAAAGCTCATGATTTAAGACCAATATAAGAAGAAAAAGAGTTATGTGATCATCGTGAAATGGTATCCATAAAATATTGCGTGATGTAATATTTAATGTATATAACATTTTACCGTCAACGTGTAGGAGTTATACATATGATTGGAGAGGATGTTCAATTATTTTATTATAATTATCCCTGATAGCAATAAACTTGTCTTCCATTATTTTCGATTAACAACATTTTATGATTTATCGATTATCAAATGATAATATGCTTAATGTACAATATGTGTTTCAAAAGGAAGGGTTAATTTCTCAACGATAGGATATGTTCTTTAAAAGTGCAATAAAATGTCATTTTTATGTACTTAAACTGTATATTATGTGTATGTGTATATATATATATTTTTTTCATTATTGCAATTCCCAAGCGAGCATGTATTTCCAAGTTTACTGGCCTTTCAACGATTATAACTTACATACACACAAATAAAAACCCATATAAGTATTAAAACATTCGATAGTTTTGCTTTTGTTTAGAAACTTTTTAATTTAGAAAAAAATGGGTCAAATGAAAATTATTTTTATTCTTATTATTATGTTGTAATTTAATTCATTAATGTTAATTAATAATTTAATATTATTATTGAATTATAAAATAATAAGAATAAATATTGAAATAGATTATTATTTTAACGTTTTCTCTACTTTTTGTTACAAAACAAATTCAACCTTTCTATTTTCAAAAAAAAAAATGATAAGTAAATGAAAATTAAAATATTTCCTCTATTGTATTCTTATATATAGTTTTAATATAAATTTATTTTAAAACTTATTTTATAGCTTTCCACGAGACATAATATTTATCTGATTTTCTCGAGTAGCAAGACTTCTGGAGTTGAAACAAGCTCTTAAAGCAGATCTTGTCCTACGACGTATAAAAAAGGATCAAGGATTTGAAACTGAAACAGCTCTTGAGCTTGTCATATATTTAATTGTAAAACGAGAAAGAAAGATCGTCTGGAGCCATTTTGTCACAAAACCAAGTTCTTTACAAAAAAAAAAAAAAGTAATTACGAATTTCCCGAAAAAAAAAATTACAGAAATAATATAAATTTACCTGAGCAAAAATGATTTAAATGAAAACATTATTTTATGGATATTAATTATAGAATAGAAATTTTCACACATTTTATAATATAATTAATAATGATTAACACCAAGTAATTAATTATAAAATGACGAATCACTATTCACATTATTATATTTTAATCAAATTAACTTCATGTATAATATAGAAAAAAAAACCATCAAACTATGGAATTAAGTCCTTGAAACGAAAAAAAAATAATTTCACAACTTTTTTCCTATCTTCGATTGAATAATATCAATTTAATACCAATAAGGTAATAATTACCGATTAAAATAATTTACCGAGAATTATTTATTTTCACTTATAATTACAATATACCTACATTATAACGAGTTGTAAATGAAGAATAAAGATTGTGTAATAACTAGAGAAAAATTCTAGATCTATAATTGAATAGAATGATTATGATGATGATGATGATGATGATTTTTAGTTTGCATCGCAGAGAAAAAACCAAAAAGGTCCCCCCCACCACTCTATATATATATATATATATATATATATATATATATATATATATATATATATATGAATGTAGGGAAGAAAACTCATAATTCTTCCACATGAAGATTAAAAATGAGTGGGTAGTGCATTATACTTTACTCAATCGTAAATTCCACTATAAAATTTGCAAGAGATGAAATTTTTCTAATGTTTTATAATATATATAAATGATGAGCGCATTTATTGATCATTTGCAATAAAATCCAAGAAATAGTGGAAATTGCAAGGATTCAATCGTCATGTACTACAAATTCGAATGTCGATTTAAAATCTTGATACTTTGTTGAAATATATAGGTATATGTAAGATAAATAGAAAAGCATAGTTTGAAAATGACAGTAGCAGATTCTTATTCAGATAGACTTCCGATGAATTCAATATAATGATGTGAAAGTCAAGATAAAGTAATCAATACTTCTCGGGACAGAAAAGTGAATAATAATCAAGCTCTCTTATTTCTTCAAAGCGAGCATTAAAAAAAACATAAAGGAATAAACATCGCTTTTTACAATTTACGATCATTAACAACGAATAATCTTGGCAAACGACCAATCAACAAAATTTTAACGATTATGCAGCTAAAGTACAAAATATATACTTGATTTCAGTCGGATTAAAATTTTCCAATCTTTTAGCTCTGAATTCCTACAAATAACTAGAAATTTGAAAAAATTCAATGAAATGAAAATTTTAGGAATTAAAAATTTGAAATTGAATTCTATGAGTCAAAAATGCAAAAATTTGATTAAATTGTAGAATTCATTTTAAAAATAAAAATTCACAGGAAAAACAAAGTGTTATTTTAACATCGGAATTGGTGTTACAACATGTAACAAATTTTACCCTAATTGTGGATTAAATCTTATGGGTTTTAGCATTGGAGAAAATTACCAGCAACAAAAATAACACCAACTTTTTTCTGTGTTGGGTTTAGTAAAAAAAAAAATCTGATAAAATTAAAAAAAGAACCTTATTAACACAAACATTTAGGAATGCATCTCTAGGTTTGTGATAACATATAACTACCATTCTAATGTTGGGTGTGTATATATATGAAATATCCTCTCATTATTTTCACTCGGTTTAAACCACTCGGTGAATTTCGTTCACAATTGTTTTCCACGATTCTATAGAAATTGAATGATATTCACGAACGTTGCTTTGAGATAAAAAAAATAATTATCTAATTATGACACTCCCTATTCTTCAAAGGCTCTATTCATAAATTTACAACCCCCATCGTCAAGCAAAATCTCTCGTTCTTAATTTACACACTTGAGCAGATCTGCCCGCTTAAAAAAAAAAAAAATTTCTCCACATGAATCATATATTTAATTTAAAAAAATTTCTTTTAAATCATATTCAATTTTAAAAAATATTTAATTTCTTTGCCACAATCATTTAATTGCAAAAAAAATTAAATTGTTAAAATTATATTAAAAAATTTAAAATTAAATATAATTTTCTTTTTGTTTCTAACTCACCAATTCGTAGAGGAAGCGAGGATTTCCAGCAAAACTACATTATCTGCAACAAATAACAAAAAATCAGATAAACAAATATTTTAAATTCAAATATCATTAAATTTCACTAATTTCCTTTTTCAAAAAAAAATGTCAGAAATTATTATTATCATTAAAAAAAAAAAAAATGAAAATTGGATGTAATAATAAATGAAAGCAATTTGTGTGCTATTGTTATTGCGCTAATTAGAAAAAAAAAACAATTTTGCAAAATTGCTGAAGATAATTTTTATAGGAGAAAATAGAGATTGTCTTCTTACGAGAACCTTTTCAGTAATTGGAGTATATACTAATGATTATAATGAAATTTAATCAATGAATAGAGAAACCTTAATGTTTCGTGTAACGAGAACTATGAAAATAACATTTTAGAAACATAGTATACAAATATCATTAAATATATATATATACATGAAAATGCCAATATAGAAGAAAATTACATGAGATGACTCGTTGATCGATTTTTTATGAAGTACACACTCACTGCCTGGCTGGGTAAAACGTAATCATATCGTTAACTATTTATGTGGACATTGCATTATAAATCATAATATTGTCAGAAATTACATTCGCTGTAAAATCTCCGCTGATTTAATGACTGAAGCTGGTGTGTGCACTGAATAATTTCAACATCAAGCAAAGTAAAGGAAAGACGTGCCCTTCTGCCTTTCTATGTAATCAGTGACAAAAGAAGAACAAGAAGAATAAGATGAAGCATATAATTTACAAAATGTTAAACTAGGACAGTATAAAGACTCTACACTATTGTCGCACAGACTCAACATTTTCTCTAAATAAAGCTTTTTCTATTTCTTTAAAAAAAAAAAAAAAAAACAGCTTATTCAGGAAACTTAGTTTATACATCAAAAGAATAAATAAGCAGAGATTAATTCCAATTAGAAGCCTGCAGCTATTCTTATTATTATATGAAGAAAATATAAACAAATAATAATTCTGTAATTTAAGATAAAAATTCAGCGTCTCTATTCTCTTTTAAAGTTACCCAACCAAAAATTTCAGTATTATACCAGAGTTAACTACTGGCGCAGTACTGGTTCAGTATTGGCTGCCAAGGCTGGGCAGTCTGTACTGAACCAGTACTGGTATTTTCATTGTATCAGTACTGGTGCAGTACTGGCAAACCAGTACTGAGCCGATATTGAGCCAGTACTGGCTCAAATAGATTTTCTTTTTGATTAATACTAGTTTACAAAAAGTTCTAGAGTGAACCTGATGAATCTTTTTGTTTAAATATTTTGTTTATAAAAATTTTTTTACTTTGATTTTATTTTTGAAAATTAAAAGGTATTTTATTTTGCTTTTTTGTGGTTAAAATTATTTAAACAAAAAGTTTCCTGAGACTAATTCCAAAACATTTTGCAATTTTTTTTTTTATTGTTTTGCAGTGAAACTTATCTCTGTTACAGTTAAAGCTTTCTTTTCGTACACAATAAATTACAAAACTGCCAGTACTCGACCTGTACTGAACCAGCAGTGGTTACCAGTACTGGTGACAACTCTGGCAGCCAATACTGGTAAAATGTTATCATCCCAAAGTTACGCCAACTCTGGCGCCAATACTGGGTGCCAGTACTGCGCCAACACTTGTCAGTACTGCGCCAGTACTGCGCCATTAGTAAATTTTTGATTGGGTACTTATTATTTTTTTTTTCTAATAACTCAAAAGGTTTTTTGCATTTTTTAATAATTGGATTTAGAGAAAACGGAATAAAAATGAAAAAAAAAATGATAGAAAAATAAAATAAAGGAAAAAAATAGAAGAAATAAAAGAAACAGAAGAAATAGAAGAAAGAAAAATGAAAGAAAGATATTAGGTAAGAGGAGAATTACTTTTATCCAACTATGGTATTTACTGGTGTTGTAAACCTTATATTATTTAATACAATAAAACAATAAATATGACGATATGTTGCTGAACTTGATGCAATCACATGATCTCAAAGCAGTAATGATGCTATATAGAGAAAGAGCATTAGCCGCGAGATTCTGAAAAGATTTCTTCCACAAATTTCCACTAGAGATCGAAAAATTGCTTTCTCTAAATCAAACTCAATTCTAAATGTTGCAATTTGCTTCGATAAATCTCTATTAAAAAAAAAAAATTTGTCTACAAGGAAAAAAATGTTAAAAAAATTCAAATTTTTGAAATATTATCAATAGAATTAAAATAAATAATAAATAATTGCAAAATTAATTGACATTAATTGGAATTTATAAATTTTTTTCAACCATTTTTTTTAAGGATCATTCAATTTTAATACTAACTATTATCAGTGTCAAATTTCAAAGCTCATCATTTTTTTTTTTCAATAATAAAATATGGATCATTTTAAAATTTCTTATATTATCTCGCAGAATCTCGCGGCACGTTTTGAAGGTCAAAGTATCGCGAGCGCGCGGCAATGCGATATAAGTTATAAGGTCCTAGAAATATCAAATTGTTCCCATCGCTTTGTGAAGAAATCATTCAGAGACGTAAATATATATATATATATATATTCATCATCGAACAAAAGACTCACAACGAAACATCCGGTGAATTTAGAACTGATCCCATCTCTCATTATTCCTCTAAATATAAGAATTGCACTGATTATGCAATCAAACGCTTGACTTCGTTTTTGCCACACGTATATAAGCAAGTTTATGTCATATTACCAAATTTCGATTTTTTCCAATCAAGCGGTAATACAGAAAATTATAACATTTTTTTTTTTTTTTTTTTTTTTTTTTTTTTTTTTTTTTGAAAGAAGACAAGATAAATTCTTACCTAAAATGGAAAATAATATCATTTTATTTATAGTGATTCTCCAATGGGATATTTTAACCTCTAAAGATTGGAAACTGTACCCGGATGCTGTGTATACCATTATTCAATAGATATCATGTCGATGAAGCGCAATTTATCTTACGCAATGTGTATCGTCTTCTTTTATATAACTTTTACTTATAATTTTACTTTTACTTAAATAATTTCGCAAATATTTCGCATTATTTATCGAAATCTTTTGTATCAAAAAAAAATAAATTGTATAAGAAAATTTAATACGTAACAAGTGGAATCCTTTAAATTTTTTTTTTTTAATTTATCAAGATATAAAGAAAATTAATTATAAAATTTTGTGATAAGAAAATTGCAAATTTTTTCCATGAAAATTTATGTCTTATAATAATAATTAATAAATATTATTTATTATATATATTTTTTTCTTTCTTTATTTATTAAGAAATAGAGGAAATAGAGGAAACAGAAATCCAGAATGGAAATTGGGACTCATTTGCCCTTAACTTAAATGTTCGGTGCGCGAGGAATGAAATTATACGTCACAATTGCATCGTAAATATTCATGGCCTCCTTAATACCAGCTGCGTTCTACATCCCCCTTCAAAACGACGAATGGAACACAATAAGGCACATGCAAAAATAGAGACTATATCAGTTTCGATAAAAGCACCTTAAGAAAAAAATATATTTAGATATAAAATATACAATTGAAAAAGAAGAATAACAAAAAAAAATAACAACAGTACTGTTCTCTTCTCAATATATATATAAAAAATACAAATTACCTCAAAATATTCCATTTGATCGAATTTTTAATTAACCGAAATTTCATTTGGCAAAATTTTTCCAAGCCGAATTCATATTTAACTGAAGTTTTATTTAACCAAAGTTTTATTGCCAGATTTTTTATTTAAATTAATTTGGAATTTCGGTCAAATAAAAATTGGCTATTTAAAAAAAAAAACTTTAGCCGAATTGCTAAATAAACAAACATAGAAATTTTTTGAACGAATTTTTTTTAAAATAAAATAAATTTTTTAAATATTTTTGTGAATTTTATATTCATATAGGGTATATCACTATTGAATTCTAAAGAGGTTGATATTGATAGGACTCGTTACAAAACCAAGGCATATATATAAACATTCTTAATGTTAAATAAATACACTACACACCACCTATTGCGAGGCCTTGCAATAAATTATGTACCTAAGAGTGTTGAAGATCTCCTCACGTGATGTGGGATGTAAGAGGTATATATATATATATATACAGTGTTTCAACAAACTTCATGATCAATGTTAATAATAAATCCTTATCATACACTAAGAACTAGTTTCACACCTGGGTTTAGAATAAAGAAGAGAAATAGATTAATTCATGTCGACTGATGAGGATTCATTATTAATATAAATTCAACTGATATTCAAAACTTTGCTATATATGAATTGACAATGAAAAATTTATTCTCATCATGAAAATATCCTTCTAATCACGCTTCTTAGAGGGAAAAATATAAATATATATTTTCCGCAATTATTATATTCATTTTATGGATGCACAAAAATTTATTTTTTTTTTTTATTATTAATAAAAAATCTATCTACATTAATAAAATATTTGCAACTTTAATTTAAGCGCAATATGACATATAAAAAAGCAGCAAATGCAATTTATAAAAAGAAATTAATTATAAAATCTTAATCTCCTTATAGGTGATTATATATATAGTGAAAATTTTAATTTTCTCCCACTGGTAAATAAAATATAAAGTTACCCCATATGTTAATAAAAAATTCATAGACTCATAATTAACTCGTCGTTCAAAGTTAAATGAAATTGTTTTTTCATGGCACCCTCCTCCTTTGAAATCTTGTTTCACAACTGAATAATTTAGAATTAACGAGTTCTTCTCTCGTGAACCTTTCGCCCAAAGGGTCAATCACTGTTGCCCTGTAAGTGTACAGGATGGAAACTCCGTAACAGTACAAATGTTTGTGTAACCTAACGAAAAGTGAAAAGGCACAATTTTACAAGGATTTAATTTACACTGCTTTCTAAACATGTATTTTTGTCTTGAAATGAGAAAAAAGGAAGAAATATAAAAAAGAGAAAAAAAGAAAGAAAAAGAAGCAAAAGAAGAAGAAGAAGAAGACGACGACGAAGAAGTTTCACAACTCAATAGGAAGCAAACGCTT